GGATGGGATCTAGCAGACATGTGGATGGTTTGGATGAGGTTATTATTTTTGACAATTCAGAGAGCTCAACAGGACAAAAACTGTCCAAACATAAATCAGGCTCTAATGAAATTTTTAAAGTTGTCTCATTTGACAGATAGTAGAAGCAAGGATGGTTTGAATTTTTTCTCTAATTGAAATAATTTTATTTATAAAGAATCTCATGAAGTCATCACTACTTATAGTTGTAGAGATACATGGTTCAACAGAAATGAGACTTTTAATTAGTCTAGCAATATTACTAAACAGAAACCTAGGGTTATTTTTATTCTCCCCGATTAAAGATGAGTTATATAAAGTTCTAGCTTTACAGAGACCTTTTTTATATGTTAGCAGACTATCTTTCCAAGTTAAATAAAATTCTTCAACATTTTTTTTTTTTCATTTAGCCTTTATTTATCCAGGTTAGTCTCATTGAGCCACGAGAACTCATTTTCAAGAGAGACCTGTTTTTTTAGGGAGCACATGGTGGGGGTTAAGGGCCTTGCTCATGGGCCCAGAGTGGGGCGAATGAGGGTGGGGGCAAGTGTGGGTGTTTCACCTACCCCACCCACAATTTTTGATGTTGTCGGGGCCGGGGCGTGAACCGGCGATCTTCGGATCACAAGCCCACCTCTCTAACCTCTGCGCCACCACTCCCCAATTAGTAGAGCGCCATTTTCTCTCCTGGTTTCTAGATGCCTGCTTTAAAGTACGTAACTCAGAATTGAACCAAGGAGCCAGTTTTCTCTGATTGATTACTTTCTTTTTCAGTGGAGCAATTTTATCAAGTGAAGTTTGCATTGAAGTTGTAAGATGATCAACTAGATGATCTAAGTCACTGTTCTCTGATGCATTACTCTGCAAGATAGAGGAAAACATTGATGAAAGAGATTGTTTAAATTTGGTTACAGCATTTTCTGATAAGCACCTGCTAAGATGAAATGTACTCTCAGTGACTGTGTAGTCATTTAATGTAAACTCAAAGGTTATTAAAAAATGGTCAGACAGAATAGGATCGGGTAAGTTCGTGTCAGCTCAGATTGGCTCGTGTGTCGTTGCGTTTCCATTTACACTTCTGGACCCGGGCTGTAGGCGGGGACCAGAATCCAATTCGTCTTACCACCTGGTGGCGGTAGTGCTCCCTTAAGCTATTTACTAGCCATCACTAAACGTATTAAAAGAAGAACACCGTGAAGGCTTTGTCACACGATGTTGTGGAAGAGATGTCATGCTCTAATGGAGTACCTCACGAGCATCCATCCATCCATTTTCTTTACCCGCTTATTCCATTTTGGGTCATGGGGGTCGCTGGTGCCCATGTCCAGCAATCACTGTGCGAGGGGCGGGGTACACCCTGGACGGGTCGCAAGTCCATCACAGGGCCACATAGAGACAAACGAGACAAACAACCATTCACTCTCTCACTCACACCTAGGGACAATTTAGAGTTACCAATCAGCCTAACATGCATG